GGCTTTCCATAACCACTCCCACCCCACGATCCTACTACAGTGGTAGTAGTTCTCTCTCTTTCAAGTCTGAGGTCCTGCAGCCTCATCCGTGGACTTTCTTTCCGTCCGCCAACAACTTAGAAGTAGCTCCTTCCGGAGATTGTTATCTCATGTGCGCTCCGCTTGTTGCCCAGATAATGTTGAATTAGGGACAAGGAAGATGTGGCAGCCTCGTCTTGTCTCATCCAAGTGAAGTGGTTACCTATAGTCTCTGGCTGGCGACAGCAATTCCTGTGGCTGTGAGCTCTTCATGCCCAGCAGAGATCCCCACAAAAGCAGAAAGTAAATACTTATATTCCTCCATCAGAATCCTCAACCTAGCTCAGGGGCTGTCACCTCCGTGAAGACCCTGAATTCTAGGTTGTACGTACCCATCTGACCCAAAGTTCTTACCTGTTCCTCCCCAACTGGCTTTCCAGTCTTGAGACTCTATATTCCCAACTGGGTCTGTGGGACTCACTCCTTGCTATTTGGATTCCTGGCCCTTACCAAAGCTGGTGTCACAGAATCTTCCCTGCCCTCACCTGTATGCCCTGGCCCATTAGAGCTGTGAGGGGAGATGTCAGCAGAAACTTCTTACCTCTAAATGCACAGTGTTGCTTTCTGATTTGAAGTCTTTTGTTGTTGTTTTGCTTTGGTCTTTCAAGACAGGGCTTCTCTGTGTCGCCCTGGCTGTCCTGGAACCCACTCTGTGGACCAGGCTAGCCTCGAACTCAGAGATCCACCTGCCTCTGCCTCCTGAATGCTGGGAATAAAAGTGCACGCCACCCCTACCAGACTCTGATTTGAAGTCTTATTGGAAGGTGTTAAAAAGAATTGTCTAGTCATCCTTAAAATTTAGTGTAACTACACTACAAAGCAAGAAGGTAATTTGAAAGGGATCACTTGGCCTGGCAACATAGATCATTGGCCAAGTTTGCCTCACATGCAAGAAAATTCCCAGCACTGGAGAAAAAGAAGAAAGTAACCACTGGCTCTAATTTTGTGTGTTGGGAGGAGGTGAATTTTGATAAAATACACATCAGCAGAAAGTAAACCTGAGCCTGACAAACATAAATTATAGGACTCACTAGAGCTTACTAAACTCTACACTATTTTGAAATGAAAAAAAAAAAAGCAAACCAACACAGCAACAACAAAAGACGAAAGGAATAGCGAGAACTCTGAGAATGAAGAGCAGACGACACAGCTGTGCTGCCTGACATCCAGACTCAGCATCTTCCCTCACTTTGCAAATGCCCATCGTGTGGGGCGTGGTCCCTCCAAGGCAGAGGCAGCTAAAGGGACTGGGATGAGAAAGCAAAACATCAGAATCCACGCACACCCAAGATGACCCTGCCGGGAACGGAACCTCAAGAAACCTGAGTGGGCTGCACGGTCCAGGAGTGTCCCCACTTAAGACTTTCCAGACAGCTGTGAAGACTCTGACTCCACAAATGGAGAGATCCACGTCCACTGCTACAGGTGGCCACACATAATTTACCTGGCCACAAAACAACTTCATTCATTTAAAGCACGGGATCTCCAAGTGTGGCCCCCAGATCAGCGACAAGACATCTCTTAAAAAAAACCCTGAAACTTGAAGTTCTCAGGTCCCTCCCAAGACTATTACATTAGACACTTCAGGGGTGAGGCCCAGACCCACTGTGCACCTTAACAGGGTCTCCAGGTGACTCAGGTTTGCGAATCGTGACTAGAAAGACAAGAACTACTATAAAAAGTAGCTCTAATCCCTCTCCCCTGTTAAAGTCTCATTATTTACTGTAACATCACATAAATATTTATTTCCCTTTATGACAGTCAATTTAGCATTTATCCTCACTGACTCTAGAATGCCATGGAACAATGCTGTGGAAGCCACCAATCACTGGTTTAAGTACACCCCTTTGGAAGAGATTTAGTCTCCTATGTAGACTTTGCTCACTAAATCTTATGGATGTTCTCCAAATCCCTGGCATCTACAGTAGAGGTTGGCATAAACACCAGCTGAAGGGATAAAGGAACGTGGTGAGGGAGTTGAAGAGGGGAGGTGGAGGTGAGGCCAGCCATCAGCACAGGTGACACCAGCTGTATCTCCATCCACAATACAGCTCACCTGTGCTGAGGATGGAGAACGTTGAGTGTGCCATCAGGAAAGACCATGCTAGGACTGGCTGCTCCAAGCAGCAACAGCTGGTACCGGAAAAGATTGGTATGGATTCCTAGTTCCTCCCCAAGAGAAGTTCCATCGTCTCCTCTGAGGATTCCTGAACAAGAATTACAGAACTGGCACACACCAAGAGTGAGCATCCTGCAGGAGTCTCCTGTTAGAGTACTATTTTAAAAAGGCAAGCAAGAGAGATGAATTGCTAGGAAGCTGCATTTTTACAGCAATTGGGAGACAAACTCCTTACCAGAAATGGAAACTCATGTGATATCATTGCACTGCATATGAATTATTAATGTTGATAATCTTTTTTGCCAATTAGGTATTCAAGAAGGTTCCTGTTGACATCATGTTTGACATCATAATGCTTCATCATTCTAAGAGCTTAATGAAATAAATTATTGCTAGAAAAAGAGAGAGATCAAACACACTTTTTTTTGTACTCAAGGGAATACCAGAAGCCAGCTAGATAATAAAGATAGTGTTTATAATTGATGTACAAAGAGGAAGGTAAAAGAAAGTCTATTGAAGCCCACTAAGACTGTAAATAGGACCAAATGGCAAAGACTTGCTTTTTCTAGCCAAGCAGTCAGAAAGGGAAGAGGAGCCACGTGACTGCCAACTATCACACGCTCATAGAATTCTTACTCTAAAAAGGAAAAGAAAATTTTTTTTACAAAATCATCTCATCCATTCATCCATGTAAGGGCACAGAACATGTGAACTTTCAGACTGCAAAAGACCACAGACTATTAGTCGGAGGCTAAAGGGATACTATTAAATATGTTGGGGCAATTCTGTGATAAGAAGTTCTATAGCATTTGTATAAATATACCTGATCTAATTTCAAATGTATAATTTCTGAGGTTTATGGAATGAAAATTCATGTGGAATCGCTGAAGTAGCACCCTCCTTTCCAACATTCCTAGCAATGGCTTGGAATAAATTAAGCTCTTATTTGGACATCTTGTTGATAAAGTAAAGAGGGTTAAATTCCTTCCCAGGTCAAGCCTTTTAACACTTAAGCCAAGTAGCATGAGATTTATTCGAGTTTATAGTAACTGCTAATAATCAGGGCTCATTTTCTCCATCAGTTTTTACTCTATTTGGTTTCTAAGTAGCCTCTTGAGGAAAGCATTAAGACACAGAAAAATGGTCTCATTCATTTATTTTTTTTTCTTTTCACTAAACAAACACCAAGTAGCCAGGGTTGCCAGGTACTAAAAATAAGTTCCTTGCTACTCTGAAAGGTAAAAATACCTAAGTTTCTCTTGAGCAACCAAAACAAAATACCACAAAGTTCACGATCAGTCACCGTTCTCAACCACTGCTTCAGGCCTTCAAATTCCCTTTTAAAACCCCAAGTTAAGGATGCTGTTAAAAATAGGCTCCTTAACACCTTGAAATTTCTTCCAATGCTAACTTTATGTTTCTGCTGGCAGCAGGCCCAGAAAGCAACAAACAAAAGCAAATTTGGTACCCACCACACGTTTCTGTGAAAAACTACCTAACTGAATCCAGGTCTCTACTCTTCGGATAACCTGTTAGTATTCAAAAGTAAGAAAAGAAATGTATTCCTGGCACATAGTAGGCACATATTAGACGGTATGTTTGTGTTAAAGGTGTTCACAATTATTACCAGAGAAACATCACACCTACTAGTAAACACTAGTTAAGTTTTACAGGACCAAATGAGATTCCATTTCACAAAAAAACTGAATTCATCAAAAGGCAGCCCACTATCCCTCCTCCCTCCCTTTCCTCCAGGATGGGTGCACTCCATCCAGGAAGACTCAGTCTCCTCACACTGGGCCAACTGTTGAGCATAGTTTTAACTACTAGATATACAATTGTGTCTTTGTCAAGGAATCACAGAGTGGTCCCCGGTAATCTACTGACTACGTAAGAGCTGTGTCTATCTAACACTAAGAGTTTAGAGGATGTGCTTTTTCCTCTGCACAATGAGACGTGTCCTCGCTCTTGGATTTGCTATCAAGCGATTACATCTGACACGATGGATCCCTCTTGGATGTAGCAGTACTTTGAAAACATGTAGATGGGCACTGTTGGAATAAATTTTCATCAAGAACTATCTAGGGACTGTTTTAACCTTTCCACATCCTCACACTATCATTCACCCTGGCTGATGTGTGTGCAGAACCGTCATCCTGAGGTAGCTGCCCTGAACTGAAAACCACATCCCTCCACGGTGGCTCTGCTGACATTCCGAACTCTGACTGGGTTCTCTCAATTATGCCCAGGATACAGTCATCCCAGAGAAACACTACAGTGACAACAGGTTCCACTTGGTCCCTTTCTATAGCTCTTCAAAAAGAAACAGCCTGATTCATTCACAAATCCTGCACTGGGCCACTGTGCTGAGAACTCCTGCCAGCCTAGCTGACTTGCAGGTGAAAATCTGAACCCCAGGCGCTCTAACATCCTGGTGCTTGGTCTGCACCACATGCAGATTCAGCTCAGCGCTCGGATTTCATTCAGAGAAACTCGCATGCTCTTGGTGATGCATACCCATCCTTCCAGCTACATCCATTGGGCCACAAGCGCCCTCCCTTAGCAAGAAACAGGCCGCCCCAACTGCTTTCCCCTGCGCTACACTCCACCTGTCCCCACCCCAGGACCAGCCAGGGTTGGTCCCCTGCACCTTCCAGGATCTTTTTCTTCCCTAATTCCCTGGGCCTTCACCTCCCGCAAAAAATGAAAAGTAAACTCTCCCCCAGTCGATGGCCCAACTCCCCCACGAACCCCCTACCCGGTGCAGACCCGACGGGCAGCCCCCCCAACAGCTCGCATTTACCTTGACGCTTGTGTAGCTGGTCTGGGTTTCGGCCTCAGCGCTGCTGCAGCAGTGACGCCTCCGGCCCCGGCAGGTGGTCACAGCGGGGCCCGAGGACCCGGTGCTGCTGCCACTGCCCAGCTCAGCCCGGGACTTGCGGACTCGGACAGCGCCCGGGGGTCCCGCCGCGCGGCTCGGGGGCATGGCGTCGGCGGCGTCGGTCTGCACGAAGAGGCCGTGCAGGGGCGCCGTGGGGCCCTGCGACAGGCTGCTGGTCTGGCGGGGCGAGTTGGACTCATCTGAGTCCCGGCAGTAGATCACGCCGCTCTGTGAGACATGGATGCTGGGGGCGCAGCCCATCCCTCAGCCGGGCTCCCCAGCGCGCGCCCGCCCGCGCCCCCCGGGCCACCCAGACTCGGAGCTTCCCGCGGCCACCTGCAGTGAGGGGGCGGGCGCGGTGACGGCGGCGTCGCCCCAGACTGCGCGCCCCCCCAAGCCCGGGTGGCCGCCGCTCTGTCGGGCTTTCTCCTCCGTGCCCCCTGGCAAGCGTCCGGGGGCAGCACGCGTCACCCCAACTTTCCCTCCTGGGCCATCTTCCTCCCGGAGCGGCAGAGCGCGCACACACACGGCCCGCGCGCCCCGGCGGCCGCCACCCTCCCCGCCGCAGCGCCCCAAACGCGCGCCCCGCGCCTCCGCCCTCCGCTCCGCCCGCGCCTCGGCCCGCGCCGCCCAGCTCCCCACGCCCGGGCCGGGGCGCCAGCCCGCCTGCCCGCCCGCCGGCTCCGTCTTCCCCACTTTCAGTCTTCGCACGTCCCCTTCCCGTCTCGGTTCTCCTTGGGGTCCCCAAGGGCCGCCCCACTGCACTCCGCTCCCGGCCGCGCAGCGCCTGACACCGTGCCTTGGAACCCTCCCCAGCTCCTGGCTGCCCCGGAGGCCTTGTCCCTTGTGGGGGGTAGGGGCAGGTCCACACGGCCCCCTAGTGCCCTAGCCCCTCTCCCCCTAGTCTGCACAAGCCCCTCTCCAGGCCCAGAATGGCTGGGTGGACCTCCAGTCTCTTCTCAAAAACCCATTTCCAACCCTATCCCTGACTTGTCACCAGGATGCCCTCGCAAACAGCAGGGAACGTAGAGCTCAGGCCCACCAAGGCCATTGATTGGCTTGTCAAGACGACTTAAGAGACCCCATTCTTGACTAGTTTACATCTGCTTTCACTTCAGTCCCACGAGCATCCACATGCTCATCTTAAGGTTCAGCTGGGTGGTGGCCCAGCCTTTAGAAAAAAGCCCATTCCCTGTCTGCATATCCTTCTATCCTTCGGAAGCTCACGCCAAGATATGGGCTGTCCCACTGGGGAATACATTCTCATTTCCGTGAAAGAGCCAAGGAAAGAACAAAAAGCTGTTGGCGTGTTCATTTGTTTTGCTATTTGTATTTTGTCTGTTTTTTTGTTTGTTTGTTTGCTTGCTTGCTTGCTTTTGTTGTTTTTTTGCTCTCTCTCCCCTAGTTTTCAGCTCTTCTCTGGGTGTCACTAAATGTTCACCCTGACTTCCACCTCACCCAGCCTCCCACGGCTCTCCTTCCACCCTGGACTGGGCAATCCAAGATGGCCTCCCTCAGTTCCCGCAGTGAGGGCCACGCTGGTTGAGCCCCCCCCTGTAGAAGAGGAGGATGCTTTTAGAAGCAACTATGCTGTGCAAACTGTCTTCTGGAAATCCACGTTCTAGCCTCCAGGCACCACTTACTCATGGGCCCCTTCAGTGATTTCTGCCACTACCACGGTGGCACATTTACAAGATAGTGAAACGGTCTGAGCAAGGACTTCAGTTAGACTTCTGGAAGGACAGATTTCAATGCAAAATACACAGAGGTATCCAGTTCAAGACGACATCATTGTCCTCCTTTCCCTCAGTTGATGCCTTCTCACTGCCAAAGAGAAACAAAATAGACATCCCTACACATCTCAAGTTCAAGCTGGCTGTGATGCTAGTTTACACTAGTAGGATAATTCTACAAATTGGGAGGTTGAGGCAGGAGGATTACAACAGGAGGTCAAGGCCAATCTGATTTCCATGAGCTCTAGGCGCCTGTCTACAAACAAGCAGAAACACCACCACACCCCAAGTTCAGATAGAAAGAGTCAACCTTATTCAACCTTTTGTTTTGCATCTCAGTTCAGTTATCACCTTTTTTTTTTTTTTCATTGTAATGACATTAAAAAAAAAAAAAAGTGCCTCTCCAGTTAATTTGGGGAAAACCCCTGTTGTATTTCCTCATGGGCAGGGAGGGAAATAGCTCAAAGGATTTCCAGGTGGGCTGAGTTCCCCAACAAACTTTGAGGTAGTGTTTGGCAAGCAATCAGTTTATCAGATGTCTTGAAAGCAGCATTTAGAAAAGGTCAGAAAGGGAAGTGACGTCTGAGCTGAGGGAGAAACTGACCTAGGCTTGGGCACCTGGCAAGGAGGTTTCTGGTGCTTAGGATGATGCTTCAGAGAGGTCCTGAGGTGGGACTGCAAAGAGGGACCTTGATACACCCGTGTCGACCAGTCAGTCATTCACACCAACTATGTCAGTGACCTTGGACAAGGTGGCTGAGGCAGGCCCCCTTGTAAAAGGGCAACTGAACCAGTTTCCTGCTGGCAGCATGCCCAGCAACTGGAGGAGTAAGCCAGAGTCCTTCTGTCCTGACATCACAGCTTCCCCACAGTTCCTTGCACACTGACTGGGCACCATACAGATAAGACTGCCACAGTACAGGGGGGCAGTCATTCACCTAAAACTAAGTCTGGTAGCTACCATCTGTAACAGGTGGTTGGTTGGTTGGTTGGTTGGTTTCTCTGTTTTTCTTTTGGGCCACCAACCAGCTCCCAAATCATGATACAGAGACTTACTTATTAGTTTTGAAGGCTAGGCCTACCTCAGGCTCGTTTCTGGCTACCTCTTATAAGTTAAATTAAACTGTTTCTCTTTACCTACCTTTTGCCTTGGGGCTGTTTACCCTCTTCCTTTCTTCCTGTCTATCTTTCACTGCTTCTCTATATCTGTCTGTCTGTCTGTCTGTCTGGCATCTGCCTGGTTTCTTGCCCTGGGCAGGTCCCTTGTTCTCTTCTCCTTCCTCTCTCATTCTTTTTCGTTTCTCTCCTCTCAACCCTAGATTTCTCCTCCTATTTATTCTCTCTGCCTGCCAATCCCGCCTGTTCTTCTACTGCCTAGCTATTGGCCATTCTGCTTTGTATTGGACCAATCAGGTGCCTTAGGCAGGCAAGGTGAAACAAATGCAGCACATCTTTATATAATTAAACAAATACCCCATAAACAAAAGTAACACACAGTTAAAGTAATATTCTGCAGTGTAAACAAATGTAACACATCTTTGCCTATTTAAAATAATATTCTGCAACAACCGTCTGCCCTTCCTTCTAATGGATCACTAAGGAATGAACAAACAATAGCAGAATTAAATTACAAGACCCCCCCCCCCCCAAATCTCCATCCCTTCTCCTGGTATGATGTTATTCCTCAGGTAGTTCCTATACACCCATCTCAGACACCATCCTTCACAAAACTGAGCATCAGATACTTCTCATGCTGCTGCTATGTTCAGAGTTTTCTCAAGGAATTACTCAACAAAACTATACACTGAAAAGTGTCAGTGATGCTTTGGAAGGCTAAACTATGGTAAAAACACAAACTACACCCTATCTTCTGGTAGAGAGCACTTGCAGATGAATCATGACTGCACAGACATCCAGAAACAAATTTAGGTTGAACTTATACATTGTAAAAAATGAGTAAGCCTCGAGAGGGATGGATGACCTCAATGTAGATAGTGAATAGGACCAGACAGCTTTAGAGGATTCACTGAACATTTCACATAGGCACTAGGTCCTTTGGTTGAATGTGACTTCTCCATGGAATAGAAGACAGAGAGAAAGTACTTACGTATCCATTTACATCCCATTTTCAAAGCAGCCAGTAACTCAAACTCAGACTTAACTTTCACCTCCAATTTTGGCTTGGTGACTATATATATATATATATATATATATATATATATATATATATATATATATATATATATATTCTGTCTCTATAATCCCCAAGTGTTCTCAGTGGGAATGTGTGACCTGCCCCCATGACAGGGACAGATCTGATCTGATTGCTGAAACTTACAGGAGTATGTAAATGGAGAAGACATGAGGCTCTGAAATTGTATCCCCCGCTTAGTTCTAAGACCTGAATGCTGGCCTCAGGGAGTGATTTCTGAACTGGTCCCCCTGCAAGGACACAGTGCAACCCAGGGCGACAACAGTGTCTGCATGCTCAGACACTGCGGCTGTCATTTAGGCAAAATTTAGTAAAATAAGGTCAGAAAACCCAACATTATAAAAAGAAATTAATTAAAGTGAGAAAATTTTAGCAGCAATGTCCAAGAAATAAATAAAAAGAAAGCTAACTGAATAAAAAAAAACTGTACTTAAAAAGAAGGAAGAAATTTAGCTCATGTTCAAGGTCAGCTGAGCGCCTTTTATGTTTTATAATGATATTAAGTAAGAGCTTGCTGCAGAATTATGACCCAGAGCACTGCAAGATCCTGAAGAATTAAGGTCCATTCCACTTCTAAAATGGAATGAATCTCCCAGAATTCCTCTCAAGGAGCAGAAAAATGTGATTAATACATTTTGAATCATTTTTAGCCACAAAGGTTAAAACAACCACAGCCATCTAATTGATCTTTAGATAACCAAACATTTAATCAACCGATCAACCTTACAGAACTTCTGGGTTCAGACAATGTTCCTCATGGGAGAGTCTTGGGAATCTAACCACCTGACAGGTCAAGTGACACCGTTTATTAGGCAACCCAGCCTGGCAGAGGGTTCACCGAACTCAGAAGGGTCAGTCTGAAACCTGACTCTGTGTAACCTTGGGTAAGTCGTTTAACCTCTGAGCTGCAATTGCCTGCCTAATCTCTGACCTCTCGAAATCACTGACATTTGGGACGCTGAGAGCTTTTTATCTTCTTATGAAATGATTTTTAATTTAAAATCTTGGGCTTTTTTTTTTCAAGCTAAAAGAACAGTCCCAACCCCGAGGGCACATCGGAATCACCTAGAAGAATTTGTCAGAAATATAATAATTCCCCATCGCGGGTGTTCAGGGCTGGTCCAGCATCTGCCATTTCTAAGAAAGCGGATCTAGTGAAGCCCCGACTTCAGCCTTCTTTGCAGACCATACAAGGCAAATGGCTGGAGTACCCACACAATGAGGCTGCCCCCATCGCAGGCTGAGCTTTCTACCCTCACTCTTTCTGCTCCAGCTAAAGTTGGTTAGATAGACCTTGCAGAAGAAAGAGCCCAAGTGCATGGTGGCTGGAGGCTGGCGATCTCAGAGCTTACTGGAGCAGGATACCAGAAGCCCTAGACCAGTAAAGACATCCGACACTCCACACCAGCTGGGCCCAACACGGCTGATGTGGATGGCTACAAAGTGTTCCATGATAATACCCTCTCTATGACCTTCATAAGCGCCTATCCCATCAAGTATCTGATGCCACATTAGGAAAATCTCATGAATACGGAAAGTCAGAGGGATTCATACCCATTCCTAGAATCCCCTACCTTTTCTTCAATTTAACTCACGATGATCCACCCCTCCAT